CAATATTTTTATCGATGTGGAACTTCTAATCTTAAGCAGGAGCATCACATCACCATAATTATTATCCTTTATATGATTTAATTTCTCTCAACCTTGTTTCCATAATTATTTTTCCTTTTTCTTTGGGGGCTTTACAAGTCAAAGAAAGTGGATCTTAAACCAACTTGAGAAGTACTCCCTCCATCCATTTTACTTGTCTAAAATTTGCAGGAAAATAAGTTTCCTACGGATTTTCATACTAATCCCCAGAAAAATCCCCATGTAATTCACACTTTTCTTGTAGTGAATGTATCGGAAAAGAATTAAGAGATAAAGAAAGCATTGGTATTGATCAATAGATCACTTCTCGAAACAAACGAAAGGTGAAACATAAATCATGAATTAACTAAGCCATAAGAAGCAACTATATACATCCATTCTGTCTGATGATATAAAAGAAAAAATTTATACCAATGTCATTTAACAAACATGGAGTATATACTAATAACAGAATATTACTGCTACTCGAGTCCATTAATATGAGCTAATTATTGTTGTTGCCTGAAGGCTCTCTCCTCAGCTGCCACGATTTCCTTCTCGACCTTCATTTTGTATGCAAACAATAACGTTACGTTAGTACACACATTATGCAACTTTTACTAGCATTACACTCAACAAACTAGAATTTTAGTTGTTTTCCTTTTGGTTGCAGTTCATTTCAAGTAAATGTAGGCATGATATTAGAATACCTTCATGAGGCTTTTCAATTTGGTATCAAGCTCATGATATGCTTGATTCATGTTTCTTATTGCCTCAAGACACCTACACAGGTAAGGTGAAAAGGTTTTGTCAGATAACCTAAGACAAATAACATATTCAGTATAGTCTCACGAGTAGGTTTGGAGAGAGTAGAGTATATCAGGTAGAAACAGAGGCGTATCCAGGATTTTGGAATGATGGGTGCATTATTACAAAAAGGTTGATCTAAGATATAAATTTTAGCGGTTCGACATTTAGGTTCTTATTACTGAAAATCGTTAAAATTAATATTATAGGTCCAAAACTAATTAAAATGTCAAAAATGTTACCAATAACTATTTAGAGAGGTGTTATCTAATTTTACAAAGAAAAATAAAACAAGATGAATATAAAATTCAAATTTCTACCCTCACGTAGAGAGGTGCACCCACTCATCATCGCATTATATGATACTCCGAGTATGGATTCACACATCTATATTTCAATATTTTTCAAAAATATAACACTACTATATATGATCTCGGGAGGGGAGCATGGGTTCACGTGAACCCGGTGACCCCTCCTTGGATACGCCTCTGGGTAGAAAGATGGTTTATGATAGACTCTCGACTCAAAAAAAGTAAAAAACACAATATTTATGAAGAAATAACAAGTAATAATAGCAGGATAGAAAGAATCATACTTGTTCTTGGACTTATTTTCAACTGCCTCGATAAAAATAGAACATCCATTAACAAGAGTACATGCTCCAATGCTACGCAAAAGAAGTTGAACAAATCAATTTGCATTATTATGAAGAAGAATTCTTATGGCTACTTTTAGAAATTAACAACTCACCATGCCGAACTTCCTTTCAGCTTGAAACAATGATTCTTTAAAAAATCAAAATTCACAACTGATGACGACTCACTATAATTAAATGAAAGTAACACAAGTCGTCAACAAACATGGCCAAAATAAAAACGAAATTGACTCGTAACAATAAGGAGAAGTCATACAGAGTTGTAGTCAGGTTGTATATAACAGTGCGAGCATCATGGAAAAAATCACAAACTAGATTCCGGAAGAATGAAGGAGTTTCCAGCTTCTTCAACAAGTAAATGTTCCGAAATTCGCTATTAACCATACCCTACAAAAAGCACCCCAACTGAGTGAAAACATCTCTATGTTGCTTGGACTCTTTAAAAATATCGATAGATTCATGTTGGACATGCGGCATTATTTTTAAAGAGTCCAAGCATCATAATTTAAATGAGTAAAGAATTCAGGTAAATTATAGTAAGATAATACTAAGAAGTGCAGCATCATTGTTGTACCTCATCCTCAAGTGATTGAATGAGTGCACTTATATGAATTTTATTGATTTCGAGAACCTATACATAAATAATTTTAATTATACATAAACAGTATAATTTTATGCCAATAAGTATTGATGTCATTCAACGTACCTCGTTCTCTAAGGACTGGCATATTTCATTAAATCCCAATTCATCTACTTTCTCAAACTCATCATCCATAACCTGCACATAAAACGTGATATGTATCACAAGAAGAATCATAAAATTAAAAAAACATTTTTTAATTTTTAATTTTTTTATATACGGGTTAATCAAGATACTTGAGAAATTAACTAGTATCCACCGACAGTGGACAAAAAATTACATTGTCAGTTTATTTTTAGAAATATTATCAATATTTTTACATATAACTAATATTTAAATAAAAATAACAAAAAGAGTATTATAAGGTAACTTGGACTCTAAATTAATTATATGAAGTTTGTAAAAGATTCTTATTTGGCTTACCAAAAACAAGGACTTCGTTTACCGTTTGTCTTCATCGTTATTGTGTGTAAAGGTGGTTCACTCAAACTGTTCCAATGATGTTGAAGACGAGGGTGACAAATAATGACAATAAAGAGATAAACGATAAAAGAAGTTCTTATCTTTCATAAACCAAGTAAGAATTCTAAACAAATTTCATATAATTAATTTAGAATTTAAGTTACCTTGTAATACTTTTTTATTATTTTTATTTAAATATTACTAATATATAAAAGTTCTTAATAAACTTTCTTCTTTGGCTTTCTTCAAACAAAAATTCTTTTATTTCTCCCCTCCTTGTTCCCATAATTATTTATTCTAGCAAACTTGTTACCATAATTATTTTTCCATTTTTGGCTTTTACAAACAAAAGTCAAAGAAAGTGGACTTCATGTCAATTTCAAAACTGCTTCCTCGGTTAATTTTTCACTTATCAATTATATTAAAAATAACGATTTTGTAGATCACACGTTTGGGCACTATAACACCCTTCACGCATAAATACAAAGAAAAAGTTGTATAGCTATACATTTTCTTGGCCTTCTTCACCCTCGTTGCAGAATTAAAATTTTCACTAAAAAAAATTAAAATATAAAAAGTATAACACACGAAAAATCAATAGCATTCAACATCTTAATTAAGTGTCGATGCAATCATGCAATTGTCATACCTCATTCTCAAGATGCTGAAAGATCCAACTTTCTTTCGATTTTTTGATGTCAACAAGCTGCACACAAAAAGTGAATGTGTATCACAAGAAAAATCATGTAAAAAATTCTAGAAACTTTGAACTACAATTTTGAATTTATCAAAAATAAAAGTTAATAAATTATTTATACAAATGTATATTTAAATACAAAATACAATATTTAACTCAACAGTATGAAGTTCTACCGAAACAATAATAAATAATGTTGTTATTGTTGTACCTCTTCATCATGAAAATGTTGATTGAGTGGGTTGTTATCCATCTTTGTAGATTTGAAATTCAAAAATCACAAAAAAAAAAAAAAAAAATAGAAGTTGAGTAGTGAATTACTTTTTTTTTTTGTTCTCAATCAAACTAATACACTTAAATAGGATTAAGTACTTATTTGCCTTCACAAAAGACAAAATTGTCTTCTTAATTTGACTTTTTTCAACTCTCTAACTTAGCTTATTCCCATAATTATTTTCCTTTTTTATATTTCATTTCTCTCATCATTGTTTCCATAATTATTTTTCCTTTTTTGGCTTTACAAGAGTCAAAGAAAGTGCACTTCAGACCAATTTGAGAAATATTTTTTCCTTTATTTTTACTTGTTCACTATTGACGGATACATTTTTTATAAATAAGTAATAGAATAATAACTATGTCAACCTTTGAATATAATAAATTCAAAGTTCTGGACTTTAAGAAATAACTATAATTAATAATATAAATAAATTAAAAATAAGTGATAAATTATCTTTTAATTTTAAGATTGAACAAATAAAAAAGAAACATCTACTTTCAGTATTGTGATCAAATAAAAATAATTATGACTATGCAATAAATTAACCATTAATTTAAGTCTAATGTTTCAATGCCATGACTAATTGTATGTGCTCAACTGAATTGAAAAATAAAAGTAGTAAGATCAATTTGGAATATTAAGTGAAGTAAAAAGATTATTAATTATGTGCATGATTGACCTTGGAGGAAATTTTTCATGCAATCTAGACTGATAAATTTACCTAACAATAAATTATTTTACATATAATATAAGTTGTGTTAGCTTTCTAAACAGGGTCAGTAAGTCAGCAACAAGTCAAAATTAAGGGTGTTTAATTTGAAAGAAAATGTTTTAATAGAAAATAATTGTGTTTTTTTATTTATTTTCAAGTGTTTAGTAAGTAAGTGAATAAATATCATCTCAATAGTAGCAAAACATTATGGCCGGGGGGGGGGGGGGGGGGGGGGGGTGGGAAGGGGGGGGGGGTAGTTACTT